TTCTGAAGGCCCGAAACGTCAGCTTTCCTGCTCCTCTGATGCTGCTTGGCCTGCTGTGTTCATCCAGCTCTACACCTTGTTATCTCAGATTCTCCAGCATCTGCAGTTCCTACTATCTCTGTGTGAAATTTCATTTTTTTTTTCTTCACTGCCCCAATCCCTACAATCCATGGGGTTGGTATCATCATGTTCAAACACAAGGACCACAGAATTTTGAAAGAATAACCTTAGCCTCCAATATTCACCTGCTTCCCTTCCTTTTATACAGGTTGTGACTTGGTCATTTGATGAGAAGTAACAGGTGCAGCAGAGCCATAGAGAAGCTGGAAATGCATTTGTGAGAACAGCTAATATCACTTACAGCTGAATTATCAGCTTTCTATTTTTGGGAAGATGTTTTTCTGTGATCTGGCTCACCTTTGGAACTTCGAATGAATCCAGTTCAGGCAGAATAAGTATGCTTCTTATTTTATTGCAGATGTTAGTCATTTATGCAAATTCACATGTAGAGAAGTTTGTAGATGTTTGTACAGGAAAGAAAGTGTCATACTGATATCATAACAGGGAGATAGTCAAGAAGATCAGTGGAATAAATCCCTCAGCTAAACCTAATGTTGGTGACACTTTGAGATATTATTTTGTTTAAGAATAAAAGAGAATTAGAGACATTTTCATTGGACTTAGAACACATTTTGTGCAGCTCTTTAAAGGAGTGGGGATTTGATTTGAGAGTGTGAACTGAGACATGAGGGCTGCTGTTATTCTTGTCATCCTATTCATTTCCCTATAGGCAGGTTCTGTAGGCACAAGCATTCTGTCATCATGCCCTCCCTGCTTTAGACAGACACTGAAATATTCCACACAATATAAGGTGCAAGAACAGCAACCAGTTTTCCACGGAATAGGGCTGACTGTGAAGACCTTCAAAACATGTGTGTGGTTCCCTGCTCCAGAAATATTGTCCTAATCTCCGACAGAAACTGTTTTTGCCGGGAGGGCTAAAGGATAAGTGGATCACACAGGAAGGAAATCCAAAGTTTGAAAAGCCTCTTGAAACTAGTACCGTGTTCAAAGAGACCACAGCTCTCAGTGTGGGAGTCGCAGATTGATGCAGTAGCTAAAAAAACTGGTGAAAGGTGGATAAAACCTGGTTTTTCCTAAAAACAAATCTCCAATCTTTCAGACATTGTAAAAGATCAGGATTGGGTTGTCAACGTGAATTTAAAAAACAAACACGCATTGCTAGATTGTTCGAATTGACAGACCACCTAAGTAACTTTTACTGATGTTCCTGAAGTTTCAACAGAGTTCTTTGCTGACATCACCAAGGGCTGTTATTATAGCTGAGATCATTCTGAATGTTTTGCCGAGTTTCAAAAGGTTCATCAAATATTCATCTCAGTGAAGGGGTCTGAGCCGATATTTGATTGATAGTTCAGGAGCTATTGAAAGACGAGTTGGCTTTGATGTAGTTACTATTGTGCAATTCCTCCGCAAGCAACTTGGCTTCTAAATCATGATGAACCTGATGGTGTGTAGCCCGAGTGCTCTGTGTGATTAGTCTGTAAAGCCCATCCTATATCCATTGTTAAGGAAGCGTACTTCTATAACTAGCCATGCCCCTAGACAAGCTGTTCCAGTACAAGTACACTCGCAGCTATCCAAGAATGTGGAAAATTGCCCTGGCATGTCCTGTGCACAAGAAACTGATACAACCCAACTAACAATCCACGCATGACTCTACTCTCGATCATGAGCAAAGTGATGGAAGGTGTTGTCAGCAATAACCTGTTCACCAATGTTCTGTTTGGGTTCTGCCAGGGACACTCAGCTCCTCACCTGATTATATCCTTAATCTAATCATGGACAACACAGTGGCACTCAACAGCTGAGGTGAAAGAGACTACCCTTAATATCATGGCAGCTTTCAAACTAGTCTGGCATCAAGGAGAGCTAACAAACTAATGATAATGGAAATCCAGGGTGAACTATCTACTGATGTGAGTCATATCTAGCGTAAGTTGTTGGGGGCTAAACATCAGAGGAACAGGGCATCTCTGTAGGGGTTCCATAGGGCAGTTTTGTCAACCTAATCATCTCAGCTGCTTCAGCAATGACTTTTAATCCATCATTGGGTCAGAAAGTGGGGATATTCACCAATAATCCCAACCTTCCAAACCTCTGATGTTTACCATAAGAAGGATAATGGCTGCAGGTGTACGGGTACATCACGATCTGTAAGTTCATTTCCAAGCCATACATCATTCTGACTTGGAACCTTATCACCATTTCTTCACTATCAATGGTTCAGAATCCTGAAACTCCCTTTCTAACAGCACGGTGTGTGCCATTGTACCACATGAACAGCATTGGGTCAAGGTAGCAACTCACATCCGTCACTTTCTCAAGGACAATTAAGGATTGGCAAAAAAACTAGCCTAGCCAGTGATATCTACATTTCTTTAAAGAATTTTTAAAATTTTTCTTCCCTTGTCTTCAAAATCACTATGATCCATACTTCCTTCATCTCAATCTTAATTTCTCCAATGCTTTGATCACTGGTCTTACAAGCACCATCCTCCATACAATTCGAGGTCTGCTAAAATCCATCATCCACATCCAAGCTGCACTAAGTGTCACTCCTCCCTCATCTGGATCACCACTGACTGCCTGTCTCCTAGTCCAATGTGTCCAAAAAAATATAAATCCTTCCACAGCATCACCGCATCCTACCTCTATAACTCCAAATGCATAGCTTCCACTCTTCTGACTTGGCTCTTCATCATTTCCCATTATCTTACGTTTCACCATAGTGGCTTTTTTAAAGAAAAATTCATTCATGGGATGTGGGCATCACTAGCTACGCCAACATTTATTGCCCATCCTTAGTTGCCCAAAGGTAAGTTATGAGTCAACCACATGGCGTGGATCTGAAATACCATGTAGGTAAGGATGAGAGTTTTAGTTCCCTACAGGACATTAGTGAACCAGCTCGAATTTTATGACAATTGACCATGGTTACATAGATGAAACTAGACCAGTTCTTCATTCGAGATTTAACTGATTTCAAATTTCACCATCTGCTATGGTAGGATTTGAATCTATATTCCCAAAACATTGAACAAAAAACAAAGAACTGCAGATGATGGAAATCAGAAACAAACACAGAAACTGCTGGAAGATTCAGCGAGTCTAGCAACATCTGTGAAGATAAAGCAGAGTTTGTGTTTTGGGTCCAGTGACCCTTTTTCAGAAGTTTTCCAGCAATTTTTATTTTTGTCCCCAGAATATTGGCCTGGAGTTCTGGATTACTAGTCTAGTGACATTGTCACTATGGGTGTCATAACTTTTGATACTCTCTTTTAACCCAATCCCTTGTTACGTTTCCCACTGCTATGAAAAAATGTCCTCAAATCTCAACACCCCAAGTTTTCTTCAACTCGTTCTCTGTGATCCACCTCTATGAAAATCTTTATTAGTGTAGGATGCTATAAGTAAACACAACTTGTTGGGCTCAGAGATAATAAGAACTGCCGAAGCTGGAGTCAGAGATAACACAGTGTGGAGCTGGAGGAGCACAGCAGGCCAGGCAGCTCAGAGGAGCAGGAAAGTTGATGTTTCGGGTCGGGACCCTTCTTCAGAAAAAGGGTCCCAACCCGAAATGTCAGGTTTCCTGCTTCTCTGATGCTGCCTGGCCTGCTGCGCTCCTCCAACTCCACACTGTGTTACAACTTGTTGGGCTTATCTTTTCTCACAGAATTCTGTTACACAACTTAGCCATACCATATTAATTTTCTTTCCCCAAGAGTAGAGGTTCAGAAGAAGTACATTTGTTCGCTGTTGTTTTGTTTATGTTTTCCAGGAAGGGCTTTCTATGGTTGATTGGAAAGGCAGACGTTTAAGATATTATACTGTTGTTTGTGAATTAGGAAACAGATGTGTCTGGTAATCTTGCCTCAGGCTGACTGCAATCTTGTAATGTTTCTGTAAGGGTAAGATTTATCAGCTAGTACATCCCACCCTGCTGGGAACACAGGGTATCATAACAAGCAGCACAGTGCATTATTCATACAAGACTGTTCTTCACTACTTGTCTTCAACAGTAATGAAACACGTCAACTCCTAAGATATAAAAAAGTTTCTACACAGATTTAAGTGACTTCACTGTCTTTTAGAGACACAACTGAAATATCAGTTGAATGATCTTATTAACTAATAGTATGCATAAACAAAACACATTGTTATATATTGTTATTTATTGAAAATATTTTTAAAACATTGTTATTTTTATTCCCCTAATAACGTTTAAAATAACAATTTTATAACATTTAATTTGAGTTAGATATATAATCCACAGAATTTTCTCCTTTGGAAAAGTTGTGGGTGTCATGTCAATGAATAAATATTCCTGCCTGAGAACTTTTATTTTATGTCTACCTAAAATATTGCAGGTTAAGCAATATTAGACATTAAGCTTTAAACAAAAGGTCACATTTCATAAACTCAAGTTATTTTTATTGGTGATGTGTAGATCTTAGAATCCTTAGAGTGCTGAAGCAGGCCATTTGGCCCATTGAGTTCACACCAACCCTCTGAAGAGCATCCCATCCAGACCCATCCCCTAATCAATCCCTGTAACCTGGCATTTCCCAAGACAAGTCCACCTAGCCTGCACATCCCTGGACACAATAGGTAATTTAGCATGGTCAATCCACCCAACCTGCACATCTTTGGACTGTGGGAGGAAACCGGAGCACCCGGAGAATGTGCAAACTCCACACAGACAGTCACCTCAAACCCGGGTCCTTAGCACCATGGGGCAGCAGTGCTAACCACTGAGTCACCATGCTATGAATGATTAGTAACTGGTTTCTAATTTATACTGTAAAACATTACATCTTTTTTGTTCAACATGGATATTTATATTTCCAACTTCTGGATGATATTTCTAGCTCCTGTCTTGGTGTCGTACTTACCCTGGCGTAGGTCCACTACTGGCAAGGCTATAAACCTGGCGTGGATTCAGAAGAAACTGGAATTTTCTGAAGATTCTGTGAAGAGAGTATAAATATACTATCCATTTCTTTAAGCAGTCTGTTTTATGTTAGACCACTGTTTCAGAATGTTCTAAAGAAGTTGAATTTGACAAAGCAAAAAGGAGTCTTTATGTAATGCATGTGGATTCATCACTTAATACAGAAGTGATCTGTATTGTTACTGTAATCATTTTAGTTTTAATGATGATTTATAATGAAGGTCTTTTCCAGGAATGTGCTAGGGTCAAGCCTGTACTGGTGTCACACCTAATTAATGTCCCCAGGCAGTATTCTCACAGCATTGTGAGTTGAAACAGTCCACAAGTCACAGGGGAGGATAAATGGAGGCACTTGTAGAGGATATTAACTAGACACGACACTTGTGCCAGGTCATTTGTTTTCCACACTTTATTTTCACTGCACAATTAATGATTCACTATTTTAATTGCACAATATTTAGTATTTGAAAACAACTAAACAGAAGTACAGAAATGTAATTTTACAAAAGTATCTTTCTGGTTTTGTTAGTAAATATTTTACGGAGTGGAACTGTTTCAGCAGCAACTGACATGTGTCAGAGACAGGGAGGATCTTGAATAAAAATGGAATTTACCAAGAAAGTGCTTAACATTTAATCAAAATTTGTAAATAATACGTTTTAAAACAAAACTGTGGTCACATTACAATAGACAACTTTTTTTAAATTGCCTTATTTTGAGATACTTCTGAACAGTTAGCTTGTTAACCTAAAATGCTAACTAATACCCAATGTTACAAGCAGAAACTGAAGATATTAGCGTAAGTACAGTTAACTTGCAGTTAAGACTTATGCAGAGCCACATAAACCAATAAACACAGTGCATGTCATTTAGTTACAGCCACCTCTGTGTACAAAGTATATATAGTGCAGCTTTCGTGAAGTCTTAATGTCAGCAGTTACAGCTTGGCAGCAAAGACCACAGCATTACTCTTATTTCTGTGCTCACTAATAGACACCTCCAAACTTTATGTGTGCAGTGGAAGAGGGTTGGTGTGGCAGAGAGGAGAGAGCTTATGTGGCTCAGATTCTTCACTAAAAATCTGATTAAGTATTTTCACAAACAGGCCTATAAACCTTTGGAAGCCCGGTTTACTAACAAATTTGATTTGACACTAGCGCTGGGGTCAATGCTTACTATTGGCTTCACGTAACAGTTGCCACAGAAACACTGGTTCCTTTGCAAGACCAAGGAGCATGAACCCCTGGCTTGGAGAGTCCTCACCTTTTAGTTCCTTGCTCTAGCTTCTCTGGACAGAGATGTTCTCTCTCTGAAGGTAGCTTGGAACCTCTGATAAATGATGGGATCTCATTTCAACCATATTCCTGTCTTTTTTTCTGTAGAGGTCCACTTGCCTCCCAATTGGATAAAGACAATAAAGTTTCAGGTGCCTAAAATTTGTATTCATTGTCCTTTAATATGGCAGGCTGATCCCTTGTGCTTGGGCAAAGCTTCTATCTATTTTTATACATTGACATCACTTTTTAGCCCAGTATAAAATCCCAATTGCAGTACTGATTCTGTAATTATGGAAGATTGACATTTCTGCACAGCATTTGGGATTATGGTTGCATTTCTATTCAACTTTTTCTGTTTCTTCAAAAAAGTAAAAAAAAACACAAGGCTCACCTTTCTCCCTGCTTCCCACCACTTTTAGGGTTCACAAACACCAGAAGTGGATGTGTGCCTGGAATCGGCGTGATCTGTAAAAAGATAACAAATTATGAGATTTTCATTCAAAATCAGAGTGTCTGTGTTTTTTTCCACAAATTTGTATCTCATTTTATTTCCATAAGTGTTCAAATTTCAACAATGCTGCATTGAAGAGGTCACAAGGAGGTAATATTGCAGCGCATATCCTTCTGAAATACAATCCTTTTGCCTGGAGAGGCATCTAGTCTTGGATTAATACCTCCCCACAGCCATGCAGCTGATATAACTTGACTAAGTATCCTTTACCACCTATCTTTGGGGTCCAGAACAGCAGTTTCTCAATGCCCGAATGCTATTTCCCTGAGACTCAAACTATTGCCCAGTTCTGCATTGGATCCAACTAATTTTGTGTCCTCTTCAACTCAGGAGCTGCAATACACTACTGATCTAGCTGTTGCAACTCACTACTTCAGTGCACATCAAGACCAGGCCTTAAGGTGATTCAGGACTTATGTCTATCCCTTTTGCAACAACTGTTTAAATCAGCACCATTCATTTTGATGGAACATTAATACTGGGCCACAAGCATTTCTTCATTTCTTTACATTTGTTTGTATTTCTCATAACAACAGGGCCAATGAAGTATTCAAACTAGTTAAGGACCTCAAAACACATTCGTTAAAAATAGATTGTGGGAAAAAACACTTTTTTTTAAAAGAGATGTCAAAAAAACACACAAGATGAATGGAAGCCAATTCTGCAGCTTATACTAAGAAACCATAAACATGTACTTGTAATGTATTATTATGAAATGTGTGGACAGGAGTTCCCTGTGTTCCTCATAAATTGTTGTGAAAGCAATTCTTTTCCACCAGATTTTCCATTCACTTACCAACTTTTATAGTTAATTAAGTAGCATATGTAATTGAAAGTAAATCTCTGATCATTAAGTGTCGTTATCATAATTGGCAGAGTGGTATTTGGCACCACACTCTTATTTAATGTTAACACCTACACAATCATAACATTTGAATGCTACGAATCAACCAGCTCTTCATAAATAGCCGCATCATACTCCAGAAACTCTGCAACCCAAATTTCAAAGTAATGCCCTACATTTTCTTACCACTTTGGTAAAAAAATAGTCACAAGCTCCCCTTGGGATTTTGTCATATTTTTCTTTCCATGATCGTGCTGCTGTCCTTTTCAGAGCATTAACTATGTGCCAATGGAACATACAATGACAGAGATGAAGTACCTAACTACCTCAGTCTGAAGTCCCGATGGAATCAGGTAAATTAATGAGACTCATCCAAAGGTTATGTATGATCTATTACTTCCCCTAATTATAAATAATAATCCTGATCATTATGCTGGTTAGCTATAAAGAACTAAGATAAATGTGCTTAACCATGATTAATAGACATCAATGAACTGCATAGGTCTCTTTCGTTGCCATGGTATCTCAAGGTACCGCAGTTATTTCTTTTTGTTTCTTTCTTTCTACTGGTACATTGGGAAGTAAATATGAATCTGCTTTGCAAATCAGTTTCAAGCTTCAGCAGCACTTAAATGACCTTTTTTAGTGCTCTATTTCAAAGAGTTAAAGTACTCTTAAGAACACCTGAACAGACATATATGTTCACTGCATTAAATTAATCACTTCTTGAGAAACAACGTAAAAAAATGTCCAGTTATTCGGAGCACGAGGGCTAAAATAACGTCTGACAGCTGGAAACTATAACTTCATAGTATGTCATAACGGCACAGCCAAAGTTGGAGAGATGACAGCGTTATCATACATACTGCAGCCTGCAATTTATTTCTGAAACCTAAGGCCAAATAACTTGACAAATAGAGTTTCATTTTAAAATGTTCTGAAATTCTGCCATTTACTAATCATAAACCAGAGCTACCCTTACTCTGATAGTTCATGTCAAAGGTAATTGGTATAAGGCAGTAACAGTGTTGACCTATGTCAGCAGTCATATTCTTTTAATCTTTTCACTCAGTGTAATGTAATACAATGATTGAAGAGACACCAAAATAGAAGAAATCAGTTAGTCATTTTTCATACCACCAGTCACAAATCAATATGAATTTTAACTTTTGTCAGTGTATGCCATCAGCACTATTGTAACTTGATAACCCTGAGAAAAATTGTTCGGAGCATTTTTATTTCTCCTTCTTCCCTCTTGTCCCCTTCCTCAACTTCTGACAATGACAATTACGAACCAGGGGATAGACTTAAAGTAATTTGTGGAAGGATGATACAAAATGAGACATATTTCATTCTCACAGAGAATGGAAACTCACTGCCGAAAGGTGGGACAGACAGAATCACTCATTGGACTTAAAGAATATTTGGATATTCTCTTCAAATGCTCTAAGCTACAAGGCCATGGACCAAGAGCTGGAAAGTTACATAAGGCTTTTTTTGACTGGCACAAACATGATGAGCTGAATGGATTCCTTCTTTGCTGTAATTTTTTATAGCTCATGCTGAGGTACAGTTCGAGAGGTCCTTTGTTAAAGTGAGCATGTGGGAATCTGGACACTATTTCACTTATGGGAGCAGATCCCAAGCCCGCTGTGTATTATATCAACACATACTTCAGATAAAAATGTGGATAGACATTTGTATTTTAAAATAACAAAGAATGTTATTGAAAAGCAAGAAAATTCTATAAACCTGGCAAGAAAATCTGTCAAATACAAACTAGAGATAATTGTTAATATCAAGAAGAGACAGCCTGTCTTGGTTAATGGAGTTGTTCACAATCAGAACATAATCAGATTAAGTTTATTTGCCTTAGATTATTGAAATGATAATTCATGGAAATTTTCCACTGTGGAAGTAAATTGATTCCTTATGATTGTTACAACCATTCATGGAACGTTATGCCAGAGGGTGAAAGAATCAGAATTTCAGTCCACCTAATAAACAACTCTCCCTATAGCAATGGGGTTGCTGCTCATATTCCATGCAGTTGAGTGATAGAAATAATTAACATTCTAATTACCTGCTTGTTGAGAGAGAAAAAAATCTGGCTCATCTTCAAAGAATCATGTTTTGTGAAGGGACTATTTTGATCTGAGCCGTCAAAGTCTTGCTTGGAGCAACATACCTACTATCAGCAATGCCCATTCTGATGCTCCCTTGTTTTAACTGTTTCACTGGGCATGTCATGCACATAGAAATAAGAGTTCTGCAAATAAAACCTTGTATTATGATCAACAGAGAATCAACTAAGAGATTTTTGAAAAAATCTTCAATTTCTGACACAATTATTTAGGTTTGGCTGGCCATTTAAATTATTATGTTAATCAGCCATTATGTTGCAAATTATCTGCATAATCCACATCAAATACTGTACAAGTATTTGTAAACTTCAATTTGGCTTGAATGGCATAACTTCTCAACGGTGTTCTCTACCTCTCAGAAAAGACAGAAATATGGGCTGAATGGCCCTTACCATTTCTGGAGAAAAATATCTTGGGGGTAAAAAACAAAAGTGAATTTTGTTTGTGACTTGCATGAAGTGAGCAGTGGGAAGGATGTTTCGTCTAGATGAGATTAACAGAAGATCTGATTAGTTTTGTCTCTTCATGAACAAGGCTCATTTATAAAGGCCACACACTTTTCGTTGGTGACCAGCACAATGTGCATTACAACGGCAGAATGACATCATTCAAGACCGATCTCCCCACTGCCAATTCTCCAAAACAATATTGTGGAAGAGTGCATGGTGTAGATACAGAATAAAAAATTGGCTTTTTTCCCCAAGTGGTAAGTGACCATGCCTGAGGAAAATAAAAATTAGAGACAGAAAAATTGTAGGACAGATCAAAGCCAGCAGCACTGTTCCAGGTCTGAAAAAATTAAATGACCTTATCAATATTTTCAAAGCATGACTCCCCTTAACACCTCTCTGTTGTCCAATATGACGGTAAATTGGCGCCATGTCAGCAATCCTTCCATTTCTTATTTTCCATGCCTCATCTGCTACACCAGCATGTGCTACTACTCAAGCACTCCAAATCTGTTACCATGCTTATAATTAATTGCCCTTCTTGCTCACACATTTTCATTTTATTGTGCTCACTACACAAAGCTTCCTCACATAACACACTTATGTGTGATGACTGATGTTAACTATTCTTCCTGCAGGTAATTGAAGGGTAGGTAATGAGAAGATGCTAGGACTGCATTGAAATAATCAAGACTAGATGTAACAATATTCAAGTCTAGATGTAAAAAGGGCACATATCGGGTTTTCAACAGCAAATGAATTGAGATGGGGCGGATGGTTAGAAGCTCATTTCAGGGTCAAATATGACTCCAAGGGTTCAAATAGTACGTTTCAGTCACAGACAGCTCCCAGGGAGAGGGACAGCATTGCTGACTATAGCATAAGGTTTGTGGCAGGGATTAGAGACAACGGCCAAACACTTCCCAGTATTTAGTGGAGGAATGTCTGTTCATTCAGCAATCTACAAGCTGTGTAGCAATTTAAAAATAACAGAGGTGTGAAAGTGGTCATCAGGTAGAGCTGGGTGTTGTCAGTGGAGAAGAATGCTGTGCTCTCAAATGATGTTGGCAACAGACAGCATGTAGATTAGAAGTTGGAGGGGTCCAAGGATTGCGGAGAACATCAGAAGTAATGGTGTTGAGGGTGGAAGAGAAGCAAATGCATGTCATTCTCCAGCTATGACTGAATGGTTAATAATGGAACCAATGGATTTTAGTGACTCAGCTGGATGTGAGTGGAGAAGGGTTACAGGATGATGGTGTGGTTGACAATGGCAGTCTCCTTCCTTAAAGGACATTTGTGAACCAGATGGGTTTTTCCTGACAATGGATTCATGGTCATCATTAGATTCTTAATCCCAAATATTTATTGAACTCAAATTCCATCATCTGCCATGGTGGGATTCAAACCCAGGTCCCCAGAACATTATCTGTGTCTCTTGATTAACAGTCCAGCGATAATACCACTAGGCCATTGCCTCCCCAGTATGGCAGTTTGTTTAAAAACTCATCTATTTT